CTCCAGGAATAGCTAGTGTGGTACCAACACTGCTCTACTAATGTTTCTGGACTTCCATCAGCCCCAACCAGCATGGGCACTGCTGTCAGGGATGGTGGGAGCTGGAGTCCAGCAACATATGGAGGGCATCATGTTGTATACTCCTACTCTACTCCTTCCCAGAACCTGGAGTACAAGGAAAGCTATTAACTAAGTAGCAAATAAAACCTCTTGTGTGCAGCTACCAGATGCCCTAATGAACAAAGCAAGGTTTGGATTCTTGGAACAATATCTCTGTTTGTTAGGAGCTCTCCAAGGTCCTACGTTTGCTACCTGCTCTCTACTACCTGGATCCACCACTACAAGTGCATGTCCAGTGCCACTATGGATCTCTTACTGGACAGCTTGACATAGCTCCAAACTGAAACAGAAGAGCACTGCTACAGTAAGATGCTTAAGGCATGTCTCCAAGTAAGAGTAAGAAAGACTCATAACTGAAACCCTAGAGAGCCACTACCCATCAGCATGGACAATATTCAGCTAAAGGTAAAGGTAAAGGGACCCCTGACCATTAGGTCCAGTCATGGCCGACTCTGGGGTTGCGGCGCTCATCTCGCTTTATTGGCCGAGGGAGCCGGCGTTTGTCCGCAGACAGCTTCTGAGCTAGATGGACCCAGTAATGTGACCAAGTATAAGGTAGCCTCCCATGTTCTTAACCTATAGATTCTAATCCTGTAAGATAACTTTTTACGGTACTAAAATGGGTAAATCTCCTTTTTGAATGTTGTAAAAGTTGAAATTTTCTAATGGTTCTGATTGTTACTTCATTACTGATATCAAACTTGGACTTTGAAGGCAGTGAGTATCTTTCATTCCACCTCACATTTTTCAGCAAGCCTGGGTCCAAAGCAGCAGCCAGTCATAGCTCCTGTGCAGCCTCCTCCAGCCAGTGCCAGGATGGTTCCCACATGTAGTTCTGGCCTTTGTCCCCCTTCTTCTTGCCAGTGCACCTCTCACCAAACCCCTAAGCCTCCTGTAAAACTGAGATTTTTTTTCTGTCACCTCATGGTCCTTCCCCTCACCTTGGCCACCCCAGACCTAAGTACCTTCTTTGATGTGTGGATGCCTGGCAATTGTTTCATAATGGCTTGCATTCAAGAAAAGGCTGGTTTGCAGAAGCTGGCCCAGGGATTCCTTGTAGTTTGCATTTTGCATTCCTATCCCAAATATTAGCTAGATACTGACATTCATTAATTTCTTAGGTTTCAGATCAGCCTGTGTGGTGTAGTGATTAAGAGCGGTAGTCTTGTAATCTGGTGAACCGGGTTCGCATCTCCACTCCTCCACATGCAGCTGCTGGGTCACCTTGGCCTAGCCACACGTCTTTGAAGTCTCTCAGCCCCACTCACCTCACAGAGTGTTTGTTGTGGGGGAGGAAGGGAAAGGAGACTGTTAGCTGCTTTGAGATTCCTTAGGGTAGTGATAAAGTGGGATATCAAATCCAAACTCTTTTTCTTCTTCTTGGTGGTGGTAGAGCATCTGCTTTGCATGTAGAAGGTCCCAGGTTCAATCCCCAAGATCTCCAAGTAGGGCAGAAAAAAAGACTCCCTGTGTGAAATCCTAGGGAGCTGCTGACAGTCTGCATATAGACAATACTGACGTAGCTGGACCGATAATCTAACTTGGTATACAGCAGCCTCCTATGTTTCTCCCTATGTTTCTATGTGGATACAACAGAAATCCAGGTATGTAGGGAACAGGTAGGAAATGCAACAATTCCAGTAGAATTAATGGAAACCTGTCTCCGTGCATCACAAGCTGGGTGCTCAGTTCCTCCACATTGCCTTTTTTCTTCTGTTCATGGATGGATGCAATTACTTGAATGCTGCCCATTCCATTAGGTAAGTTTCAATGGATCAAATTCCAGGCATTTTGGTTTCCCTGAATGCCCAGGTGATTCTTGAATTCCTCATTTCTCTTGCATTCTGTGCAGTTAGCAGAACCAAACACCCACTCTCCCTCCCACACCGACAGAGGGCTCAGATATGATCAAGGAAAGTTACGATGCTGTGGCAGATGCTGTAACAGATGCTGCAGAAGGTGTGAAAACAGAGAGTGTTTAATGTATCAAATGAGGTTTTTCCATCATACATGCTATTTGTTTGAAGGGCTGTCTAGGCTGGCATCAGATGTAGAAGACTGGATTGTCAGCAAAAGATGACACAAAGGAGTTCTGTGTAATGGCAATTGATGAGTCAATTAGGATGACTGATGCAACTCACAGGCAGATCTTCCATTTAATATATCAATGACCAGATATTAGGTAGAGTGCTAACACATGTGCTCTGGGGAGCCTCTACTTTGCAAGAAGCCCTGTTGTGGTAAAAAAGAGGGATGTGAAATGATGGTTGCATTTACTGGGGCTGGAGCAGACCTAGAATTGGGCAGCCAGCCCTCCTCAATGAACATTTTTAATCTAGAGGTAAGACAGACAACCTCAGAATTCTCAAGCACCCCCTCTGATAATTTCTGGTGCACCATGGAAAGAGAGAACAGCAATGTTGTTTGAGGTAACAGGGTCTTTATCATTCTTTGGGGTTCCCATAATGCCTATTTTCAATGCCCATCAGAAGATTCCTTCAACCAGTCAGGCACTTCCTGTTTTCATGGCCATGGAAGCAAACAAGATTTCAATGCACCACCTAGCAGGGCTGGTTTTGCCACAGGGGAGCGAGTGAGGCAGTCTGCTTCAGAGAAGCACCACTGAAGAAGGCAAGCTGTCAATGATTTAGCCTAATATGTTTTTGCCACAGCTATTGGTGATATTCTGGATTTTCCTTCCTGGATTTTCCATCAACATATATCCAGACTTCACCAAGAGCCACACTAGACATGATAGCAGCAACCACGTTTGCCAAATGACAAACTCGCCACAAGTGGCCAGATTTTACAATAAAATGTATGCACAGGCAGGGCTTCTTTTCAGCCAGAACTCACTGGTACTCAATTCTGGAACCTCTCAGGTGGGCGCCACTGCCATTCTAACAGAACAGCAGAGGTGTTCATTGTGTGTTCCAGCACCTCTTTTTCTAGAAAAATAGCACTGTGCACAGGTAAGCAGAGCTGAACTTCCTGTCCCGTTGGAGCATAGGAAACTGCCTTATACTGAGCTTATCTAGTTTGGGTGTTATCCATTGGCTGGCGGTTTTCCAAGGTTTTAAGCAGGATCATTTCCCAGCTCTACCTGGAGATGCTAGAATGAGGCAGTTAAATGGGATCAAATGGGATCCTTAATAGGAGTTCACATTTCACATCCAAATAAATATCAGTGACTTCCCAAGAACACACATTTTAATACAAGCAGCAAACATTTTGAACGTGCATGCTGTTTTTGGCCCTGGAAGGGAATGGAACGAGGCAGAGTGGGGCAGGCTTATGCACACTCCGCCAACACGCATGATTACCTGGAACACAAACCCCCATGCAAACAGGGAGTTGCTGTTTATAGTATAATAATTAGCAACTAAACTTGGTGGGGCCCCCCATACATTATTGTTGGGCCTCCAACTCCCATCAGCCCCAGCCAGCATGGTAAATGGCCAGAGATGATGGCAGTTGTGGTTCAACTTCTGGAGGATACCATGCTGAGGAAGAGCCAAGTTTCTTCAGGGCTAAGTAGCAAATTCTGCCTATCAAGTTACCCTTTTCAAAACATACTAGACATCTGAGTTTGCTATCAGGGAAACAAAGAGTATGCAAGGTGAAGTATGCAAGTAGTGGATATTTGACAACCTTCCCTCCTGGTGGCTACAGCCAACAAGAGTTGTAGGTCAAAACACTGGGAGGGCACCAGGTTGGTGAAGATGGTGCTAGAAGTCAATAGATCAACTGCTAATAGGCTGTTGCCTTTAAATGAAGAGCAGTATTAAAAAAAAATACTAAAGAAAAGAACCAGCATGGTGTTCTGTTTCCTGAATGCTTGGCGAATGCCCTGAACGAGGCAATTCGCAATGAGACAGCGAGAGAGCGAAGGCGTCAAGACCTTGGTGATAAACTTGCATGAGGGACTGATTGGAGGAGGATGCTGCAGAGCCTATCTTTAGAACCTATTTTAAACATTTGGCTGAGTGAAGGTAGGGTGGGGAAATGGTTAGGGTGCAGCAGAGATGGAAACGTTGTCAACAAGCTCCTGATTGCAACATATGGCATGTTATGATGACTCTAATTTGGAAGAGCTGCCATCAGCATTTCCACTTCCCCAAAACTCAGCCACGTGGGGTGACTGAGCTGCCGTTTCTCCCCTTGGGACTTAGGGGTGTGGGAGCAGCAGGGACTGTGCCCCCTCCCTGCCCAAAGTGGTTGGCTTCCCCCATGGAGCCCAGACATTTGCCCAATAGGAAAGGTCTCCTACATGGCCCATCCTGCATGTCAGAGGGACCATCTCAGAGAGAGCAGGAAGCCACAGTCCTGGCGTGTGCCCTTGCGAATGCCAGTATAATATCAGGGAGGAACGCATATTATAGCCCTTTTAAGCCAAACTACTTCAGAACACAGGTCAGGCTTTAGGTAACTCAGTGCTCCCAACTATAAAGAACCCCTTGCCAACAGACAACAATTCTGGCCTAGGCTGTTCTCTTGATGTGCTGGCTGGCAATGCACAGGTATCATTTATATTTTATATGGTGGCCCATTTCACTTAGATATTTGGCAGACAAAGCAGATTTATTCTGGAATGGTATAGCTCCAGGAGCTATACCATATGGTGTTTCTGCACTTGGTGGTGGGCTGGAAGAACAACTCAATGGTGTTCTATACCCATGAATTTTAATAAGATGACATATTGTTGTATGGGGGGTGGACCCTTGAGCTCTTTTCAGACAACACAGTTTGAATTACAGTCATGTACAATGCTGCTCGGGGACGCGGGTGGCGCTGTGGGTAAAACCTCAGTGCCTAGGACTTGCCGATTGCATGGTCGGCAGTTCGAATCCCCGTGGCGGGGTGAGCTCCCGTCTTTTGGTCCCAGCTCCTGCCCACCTAGCAGTTCGAAAGCACCCCTAAGTGCAAGTAGATAAATAGGTACCGCTTTATAGTGGGAAGGTAAATGGCGTTTCCATGTGCTGCGCTGGTGCTGGCTTGCCAGAGCAGCTTCGTCACGCTGGCCACGTGACCCGGAAGTGTCTCCGGACAGCGCTGACCCCCGGCCTCTTAAGTGAGATGGGCGCACAACCCTAGAGTCAGATACGACTGGCCCGTACGGGCAGGGGTACCTTTACCTTTACAATGCTGCTCAAATGATCTTTTTGAATAGCCCAGTCTTCTCCAACCAGGCACTCTCCAGATGTTTTGAACTACAACTCTCATGGGCCCTGCCAGTCCAGCAAAGAGCTAGGAATGATGGCAGTTGTACTCTAAAACATCTGGATGGCACCATGTGAGCTACAGCTACCCCTGTATTTACCTATCAAGAAACAGCTGCAGCCATCCTGTGATAATTTCACACTTTAGATTGGGTGGTGGATTCACATGTGCATCTCCAACGCATGGCTTTTCAGACAATTGGTGGCTGGAAGTTGAAAATGAGGAGTGACTTCAGTGAGAACAGGATTGTGCATGAGGAGACTTTTCAACCTTCCATCTGTGGTGTTAGATCTACAACTATCTGCAAATTGTGATACTGAGGTTCTATTCTATTCTACAGTGGTACCTCAGGTTAAGAACTTAATTCGTTCTGGAGGTCCGTTCTTAACCTGAAACTGTTCTTATCTGAGGTACCACTTTAGCTAATGGGGGCTCCCGCTGCTGCCACGCCGCCACTGCGTGATTTCTGTTCTCATCCTGAAGAAAAGTTCTTAACCCAAGGTACTATTTCTGGGTTAGCAGAGTCTGTAACCTGAAGCGTCCGTAACCCAAGGTACCACTGTATTCTATTCTATTCTATTCTATTCCGTTCTGTTCTGTTCCGTTCCATTCCATTCATTATTTGTGGAACAGTCTCCCTTGGGAGGTTGTGGGCTCTCCTTCCTTGGAGGTTTTTAAGCAGAGGTTGGCTGCTTGTCATGGATGTTTGAGCTGAAATTCCTGCATTGCCGGGGGTTGGACTAGATGACCCTCGGGGTCACTTCCAACTCTACAATTCTATGATTATATTAAAATCACCCATTTATTCTACCAAAAATGCTCAGTGTGGCATATATGACCCTCACAACAACCCTGTGAAGTAGGTTGGGCTGAGAGTAAAGTTTTAAGGAAGAGTACAGATATGAATCTGGGTCTCCCTCGTTAAATCCTATCACTCTAAACCATGATGGGGAAACCTTTGTCAGCCCGAGGGCCACATTTCCTTCCTGACAACCTTCTGAGGGCCACATTGTGGCAGAAGGAAAGGCAAAAGGAGGTGGGGCAATGAATGTAAATGTTACCTTTCTACAGCAGCCAAGTTTTGACGCATACTCACACACCCAGCTCTGTCCTCCATGTAGGCACACAAGAGATTGTTATCAGAGTTGAAGGGCACATTTCCATCCAGGCAAAAACACTCAAAGAAAAGCCAGTGAGGAGTGTGGCCTGGGGAGAGTTGGGGTGAGTGGGGGGGGGATGTGGTCTGGAGAGAGTCTGAATGGTCGTATAGGAGGTCAAATGGGAGACTCCCTTCAGTCCCTAGGCAGCAGCTCCTCATCACTGCTCTAAATGTTACGTCAAATATTGTGAACCCTATGGAATAATACCAACAAAGCTCAGGTGTCCCATTTGCCCCCAGTGTGCAGATTATGCCCAGTCACTGCTGACAAAGCCATTATTTCCCAGTAGCAAGGTTTCAGATAGAGATAAGGTGATGGGGAGCAGAAGCACCCTACTTTTTACACAACAGGAGGAATGTAGTTGAAAAGCCATCATCACAAAGTGAGCATTTTAAACTCTTGTTCCATCTTCCTCATAGCTCCCTCTCCCTCTCTCTCTCTTACTAAGATAACTGCATTCTGCCGACAGCTATTAACATTCCTGGAAATGAAAATGTTCGCAGTAAGATAATGAAAAACAGACACTTAGTAACAGTTTCATTTTGCATGTTTAAATATTCATAACTCTCTTCATAAAACCACATGTTTGCTCTCCTTAATGCTCAGGCAATTGTGCTTATGAAATGTCATATTTCTTGTACGCCTTTTCATTACGTCGTTTGCATTCAGTAGAGCACAACTTACACAAAACACTGAAGCTTTTGCTTTTATGCAAAAAGATTGGTCAAGATTGAGAACCAAAAATTATCAAACCTGTTGACAGGTGCAGGATACAGCCTGTCCATCTCAGTACAATAAAAACATTCACCAACATAGCTTTGACTTCAGACTCTGTAGGGGACATCAATAGAGATGCTCAGTGCATTTAACAAGGCATTGTGCTGTTAGAAAAGCATTTTCATTTCTTGGAAGGCAAGCGGATCTATAAAGCAATCTTAACATTAAAGTGAATAGTCCACAAGATTTCCCTCCCCCACTGGGAGAGGGAGAGGTAGAATCCCTTCCTTCTCCACCCCCTCCTGAACATATGTTGAAGATGGGATGGTCTCTGATTTGGCACAGGGTCAATAGACCTGATCCAGGGGCCACAAATCAGGAGCATGGAGTGGATTAGGGTGCACAGCCTTTCTGTCACTGGTAAACAGAAACCTTCTGTCTCATCCCTCCCCTATCCCAACTTAGCAATGGCCAAATAGATATACCGGTAACTCCAGTGGAGATCCCTCTGTGTGTGCACATGAGCGTGCCCACCTGCAATTTCTGGTATCTGTGTCTGCGCAGATGTGAATTCCGGTGCTGCAAAAGTGAGTCTCTGTGCTGGTTTAGCGCAGTGCGCGGGGGCTCGCTGAGCAGGCGGCTCAGTTCGGGGTGGCTCATGGGCCAGTTAAACGACCCCCGTGGGCCGCTTGTGGCCCAGGGGCCTTAGATTGCTGACCCCTGCCCTGAGTCCTTGTATTGCACCCCTCTCTGCCTACTGAGACGGGCCCTTCTCCTTCCATAGGGCTAGACTTTTTGCCATCAGGACCACAAAGGCAAATACTAAAAAAAATGTGCAGAGCTCCTGAGACACCCCATTCTTGTGACAGAGATTGTAGCTTGGGGCTGGAACACATGCTTTTCATGAAGAAGGTCTCAGATTCATTCCCTGGCATCCCCAGCCAAAATATTCTGTTAGCAGGTAATGGAGATGGCTCTCTCTCTGCATGGAACCCTGGAGAGCTGCTGTCATTATTCAAAGCAAACAGTATTGGACAGAGCAGGAAGGCAGTCTGCCCTGGTTGAAGGCAGATTCCTAAGCTGCCTGCCTATCACCATACTGAAGTTCAGGTTTATGCCTTCCCTATATCTCACCAGGTGGCAAGATATGACAGAAGTGTACGTACATGGCCTGGAGAAAGTGAACAGGGAATACTGTTTGCTAGAAACTGCAGTAGGAAACAGTGCTGTTGCACTCAGGTCCTACTTGCAGGTTCTTCCCATCAAGACATCTGGTTGGCCACTGTGAGATCAGGCTGCCAGGTTAGATGGGCTCCTCTTATGTCCTTATAACTCATTTTTGCTGCATTTGAATTTGATTGGGGTGCATTGGCAGTATTCTGTCTCACTTCCAGTCACCATGATTTAGGAAGGAGATTGACAACCTGAAGCATGTCCAGAGGAGAATGACCAGGATAGTGAGGAATCTGGAAACCAGGTCCTATGAGGAGCAGTTGAAAGAGCTGGGTATGTTTACCCTGGAGAAGAGAAGAAGAGAAAGAGATTACGGTGGTCATCAAATATCAAAAGGATTGTCACAGGAAAAAGTGTTCTCCGTAGCACCAGAGGACAGGAGTAGAACCATCTAAAATTCAAGGACAAGACCATCTAAAATTAAAGGACACAGACCTAAAGTCAATGGGTCTACTATGAGTAGAACTTGGTTGGATTCAACCTCATTGGGTAGAAGCTGTGGGCAAGGAGATTTCTGCTAAGGTAACCCCTGGGAACTATAGTAAGTTAAGAGTTCTGGGAATTGGAACACTGAGGGGTAAACTAATATTCCCAGGATTCTTTGGAGGAATGTATGATGCATAGGATTGGCCCTACAGTGAGGCAACGTGAGGCAGCTTCATATACCTTGAGGGAGGGTGCTGTCTTGTCCTTTCCCATGGGCAGCAAATTGTCTTGAGCCAGCCCTGATGACGCATGCATACACAGCCTGAAGTTCAAGCAAAGTGGAATCAGGATAAAGTGAACCAGAAAACGGTCACAAAGCTGAAAAGGGGGAAATCTTCTCAAACACACACCAGTTTGGCATGGTGAAATTCAAAGTTTTCATTAAAAAATAAGTGAGTGCTAGCCTCCCAGAAAACATCTGTCGCCTTCTAGAAGAGGGTGGGATGTTTTTAATGTGTTTCTTTTCCCCCCTCTTCGTTTTGATGTATCTATGGGGGGGGGCTTTCTGGTTGGTTGGTTGGTTGCTTGCTTGCTTGGTTGGTTGGTTGCTTGCTTGCTTGCTTGCATGTTGCTTTGGATTGCCCTAGGCAAGATAAAGCAACTAACAAATTCAAATAATAATAATAATAATAATAATAATAATAATAATAATAAATTAAATTCAAGGGAAAAGGAATGTGGAAACTCTGTCCCCAAAGAGCATCCCACAGTCTAGGTGCCACCCTAGACCCTCTCATATCTCATGATATCATCCTTTTCAACAGAGTAAGATCAGCTATTCTGCTGCAAGTCATCAAGAGTTGAGCAAGCAAACCATCAATTATATCTTTCTCCAATTCAGTCCCCTCCAACTATTATTTTTGATGATAATAATAGTTATTATCAAACTCCAACTCCCATCAACCCCATCCAGCACCCAGGCTTATGGGAAGTACAGTCTAAAACAACTGGAGAGAACCCAGTTGCCAACTGGTTAGTCTATTGCATACATGGGAGCATCAGCTTTTGGCAACCTTCCTGCTTAGACATTGCAAAAATATTATTTGAAGTTTGTTTTATGTGGGAGAGGGAGGATGTAACTGCATAAAAGTTAAAAACACCACACTTACTTATTTATTTATTTATTTATTTATTTATTTATTTATTCAGTTTATTTATTCAGTTTATATACCGCCCAAAGATCTCAAGACGGTGTACAACATTAAGAACATGTTTTACGGAGCATGACAATAAAAAAACAATACAAAGCATAATAATAGACAACAT